CCACCTGCTGGGGCTGGAATGGAAGAAGAACCTCCCTACACTCCCAGTGCATTAGAATGGAGCAGCCAGCCTCTGAGGCCTGACCTCCCAGTGTGGAGGCTTTGAGCCTCTGTCCTTGGATTTCTTGGGCTTGGAAAGAGCCCTGGAACTGGGCTCCAGTGGCTCACATCGTAATCCTAGCTACACAGGAGGCAGAGATCTGAGGATCAAGGTTCATAGTCTGCTAGGGAGTCCCTATGAGACTTTTATCTTCATTAACCCCTCAAAAACAGGAAGCAGAGATGTGACTCAAAGTGCTAGAGCACTAGCCTTGAGCAAAAGGGCTCAGAGACAGACTCAAAGAGAGAGAGAGAGAGAGAGAGAAGGAAAGAAAGAAAGAAAGAAAGAAAGAAAGGAAGAGCGATCTCAAAGCCCTGTGGACCCTGTCTTTCATCCTAAACACACCCTGGGCAGGACTTTCTGTAGTCTCCCACCACTACCAGGACTCAGGGGGAGATTGAGAACTTCCTCCAAATCCTGAACCCGGAAGGGGCAGAGGCAGGATTTGAACCCAAGGGTCTCTGCTTCCACACCTGTTGCACTTAGCTCCACTTCATAGATCACTGAGATCTAATGAATCAGTGTGATCAGGTGCCAGGTGAGGCCTGTGGTCTGTTTATTCTCCTGAAAACTGGGAGCTATGTACCCACTGCCCCCAACCCCAGTCCCAGGAGGGAGAGTACTAAGCAAACAAGGCTGGAAGGTGCCCAGCACAAATGGCACTACTACTGCAGGGCTTTCACACAGCTTACACATCCCCGGCCTTTGACTGAATGATCTACTTTGAGTTCCCCCGTTCTCTGTTTTTGTTATTCTGTAGCCCAGGTTTGCTACATAATAGCAATCATCCTCAGGCATCTTACCTCAGTGTTAGCGTTAGAGGTATGGATAGCCATACCTATCTGAACCTCCTACCCTCTCCCCCTTTCCTTTTGCTAGCTCCTTTAATGCTCACCTCTGCCAGGAAACCCTCCAAAGAGACTTCTGATGAGCCTCCCCTCCAGAAGTTGCTCTCCTTTTCCAAAGCACCCTGAAAACCCATCCCCCAAACAAAACAAACAGGAAGTATAGTGAGAGCCAGGTTTCTGACTGCCAGATCTGGGTGAGTCCTGACTCTGAGTGGTAGGCTACTCTGTGCTATGTGACACTGGACAAGCTCCTCACTCCCTGAGCCTTGCTTCTCATCAGTAGCTCCAGGTAAAGCCATTTTCCTCCCCACAGCTAGGGGAGGATTTCAGAACTTAAAAACTGTCGGGCACTAGTGGCTCACACCTGTTGTAATCCTAGCTACTCAGGAGGCTGAGATCTGAGGATTATGGTTCAAAGCCAACCAGGGAGGAAAGTCTGTGAGACTCTAATCTCCAGTTAATAACCAGAATTGGTACCGTGGCTCAAAGTGGTAGTGTGCTAGCCTAAAGCAGAAGAGCTCAGGAACAGTACCCAGGTCCTGAGTTCCAGCCCCATTAGTGACAAAAAATAGGCTACTGGGCTTTGTATTACACCAGTTAACCACACCGTCCATAAAATTCTTTCATTCCCTGGCTGCATGAAGAACTGCAGCCTGAAGGATGACTCCACATTTTTATCACCAGAAGACTTGTCTCTAGGTCAAACTTGTCTGTCTCTCTGTTTCAAGGCTAGCTGCATACATTCATGGTTCCCTTTTTGCTCAGGTTACTGGGAAGCTCAACCATGAACTAAGAGCTTTATACTTGCTACAGATTCCTGGTAAAGTAGTCATATTATCTGTCTTTGAAGTCAATTCCTCGCTCTACCATCAACCTTTAGAACTTTTCTGTCTTACACGTCTTAATAACCCCAACTAATAGTCTTTATGGAAGCAGCTTTGGGAAGTGGGAAAGAAACAAATCTGAGAAATACTGAGAGTGTTTTGCAAGGCACCTTTATGAAGCGCAATCTTGGCAAGCTGAGGGCCTCAGTTCCAGCCCCTTCCAGGCAGCCTTCCCCTATCCCTGATCCCAGGCAGGCACTGGGCTCCCAACCGCTCCTAACAAACCAAACCCCTCGCCTTGTAGGAGCAGGGCTGAGTGTCATAGTTAAGAACATGAACTTGATGGATGCTGGTGGCTCACGCCTGTAATCCTAGCTACTCAGGAGGCTGAAAGCTGAGTAGGATCAAGGTTCAAAGCCAGCCTGGGCAGAAAAGTCCATGAGACTCTAATCTCCAATTAACCACTAGAAAACCAAAAGTGGCACTGTGGCTCAAGTGGAAGAGCGCTTGCCTTAACCTGAAGAGCTGAGGGACAGCGCTCAGGCCCAGAGTTCAAGCCCCACAACCAACAAAAAGAAAAGAAAAGAACATGAACCACAAAAAGTAAAAAAAAAAAAAAAAAACTCACAAAGTTGTGAGATCTTGGGCAAAAGAATGACCTCTGAGCCTCAATTTCCTCACTTGTCAAATATAGGAGAACAGGATGACGTGAAGCTGTGGTCAATGGGCCTAGTGCCCAACATGGGCCTGGCTGGTAGAAACAATTGTGGCCTTGCTGGGTGGACCCCCATCTCAGATCCAGTGGAATTGCCTGTTGCCACAGAAACAGCTCAGAGCAGCTTCTCCAACCAGCTCCAGGCTGCCTGCAGGTCTTCCAAACTCCTTTAGGGGGATGGTAGCTGAGGTGCAGGAGCACCACCTCAGAGCCTGTCTGTCCCTGGCAATCTGCATACCCAGCAGCTCCGCTCCACTACAAGACTCCCAGTGGGACCTACATTAGACCCAGACTTGTGTCTGCATTGGTATCAGGGGACCAGGTGCTCATGGCTGGGCTGCTGAGCTCACAGGGGTCCCCCAAATCAAGACCATAAGCCTCCTCCAGAGGCAGCTTCCACAGTCCCTCCAAACCACAGAGAACCCTCTTATTCCAGTTCTTTTGTTCCCTTTATTAGACTTTTCATCATTCAGATGCAACATGCTCCTGTCCTTTCCACCAGCTGGGGGCTACTCAATAAGAACTAACCCCCAGGTTCCACACAGACCCCCCCCCAGCCCCTGCTGCTCCAAGATCACCCAGGTGACTACCACCACCACACTTCTGGCAGAGGTGCATGCTCCCTCTGCTTCAGGCCACCCCAGAAATTAGCCCTTTAACTCCCCTGAACTCTCCTATCTCCAGCCTCATTCACACACTTGCTTCCTCAGTCTCAGCTTCGGGTGAATTCCCAGATCAAAAGCCACTTCCTCCCAGGCTGCACACTAGATCTCCCACTCAGGACGTGTGTGTGTGTGTCCTGGGGCTTAAACTCAGGGTCTGGACACTGTGTGTGTGTGTGTGTGTGTGTGTGTGTGTGTGTGTGGACACTGTGTGTGTGTGTGTGTGTGTGTGTGTGTGTGTGTCCTGGGGCTTAAACTCAGGGTCTGGACACTGTCCCTTAGCATTTCTGCTCAAAGCTAGAGCTCTACCACCTGTGCCACCGCTCTACTTCTGGCTTTTTGGTGGTTAATTAGATATGAGAGGCTCACGGGCTTCTCTACAAGCTGGCTTTGAACTGTGCACCTCAGATCTCAGCCTCCTGAGTAGTTCTGACCAGGCTCCCAGCCCCTGCGGCTCCCCAGCCAGCCCTGTCACACACATCTCAGAGAAAGTGCAGTAGCTTTTCCCACTGGAAATGAAGGGCTAGACTCGGTGTCCTCCTTTTCCTACCTATCTGCCAGGTGAGGAAACTGAGGTGATTAGTTCCAGAAGAGGCCATCAACTCCTAGGACTATCTCACCAATGAACAAAAAATAAATAAAACAGAAATAAAAGCTACTCAGGTTTAAAACGTGGATTTCAGGCTGTACTTCCTGAGATTCAAATCATAATTCTACATTTCTTCGGGGTTTGCAGTCTAAAAATCTTCATTTTAAACAAACAGCAAGGCATTCAGAGGTTGGGTGGGGAGGGGCGCTGCCCAAGGAAATCTGAGGAATCCAGACAGAGGTAGCAAGCAGCAGGTGGGGGGCGGGGGGCTCCCAGAGGGGCTGGAGGCAGGAAGGCCTGATCTCCACGCTGGGATGGCGCCAGGGGAACCACCCAGCAACCCAGCCTGGGTCTGCCTTACCAGCCCCCGGCAGGAAAGGGGCCGGTGGGAAAACCCACTCAGTGGATGGGAAAATGGATCCAAGCCCTCCTCCAGATCCACCCCAGTCCAATGAAAATGGACAAGCAGGCATCTGGCACGCAGATCAGGAGGGTACCATGAGAAGAAGGGCTGACGTCCCCAGGCTTTGCAACCTGGGGTGGGATGTTCCCTCTGGTTCGCTACAGCTGGGGTCTGCACCCCGGTCGGGAGGCGTTAGGAGTCTGCCTTCTGCTTCCCACAAATTACTCTCTACAGCGCAGGGCGTGATTTTCGGGACCCTCGGGGCTTCCTGAACTAGCTAACGCCTTGCAGATGCCCCCAGAGCAAGCCAGAAGGGCCTGGAGGAGGAGGGAGCCCAGGGATCGAGGCCCAAGCGCTAAGCAGAGGCTCGGAGGCTCAGCCAGGGGTCCGGGGCGGAGCCCGAGGAGCTGAGCAGAAGGTGGACTTTGACTAGCACCGAAAGACTAGGGGCGGGGGCGGGGGGTGGTTGAAGGCGAGAGACACAGGGAAAGATGGGAGACACAGAAGAAAACAGAAAGGGGGGGGGGAGGGAGAGGCAGAGGCGCCGCGATTGCAGCAGGTGTGAGTGGCCGCGGTGACATCGGGGCGCCCAAACCAGGGGTGCACAGAGCAGGTTTGCGGGGTCGGCCGGAGGGGGCGTCTCGGGGTGACAAGATTGCAGGGCGAACTTGGGGGCGCCCATCCTGAGAGCACCCCGAGGTAGGCGCGGGGTGTCGGGGCGCGCGAGCCTGCGCTGAGGATGTGCTGGGCGCAAAATGCAGATGCTCCCCCCGCCCCGCCCCGGGATCCCGTTGCCGGCCTGTCGGGACAGGGATCCCCCCCCAGACTCCCCCCCAGCCCGCGGGATCGCGCGCGCTCACCATCTGCAACAGCATGAGCACCCCGAAGCTGGAGCGCACGAAGCCCAGGTCCGGGCGCAGCGCCGAGACTGAGACGCCGGCGCCCTGCGCGGGGCTGCTAGTCCGCGTGCTCACTTTCGACGGGAACTCGGCCATGGCGGCTCCGGCCCGCGACGCCGCCCTCGCTCGGTGGTGGCTCCGCACGGCTCCTCCGGGACCTCGGCTCCCGCGGCGGCTGCCGGAGCTGCGCCAGGCGTCAGCGCGCGAGGACCCCGCCGCCAGGTGCGGCCGGACGCTCCGCCCCGGCCCCGCCCCGTGCGCCCGGGCCCCGCCCACGGACACGCCCCCTTAACCCACGTCGCGCCACCGGCCGTGCGGGCCACTGCGTCTTTGAGCTGAGAAGCAGAACCCCGCGGGCAGAGAGGCTCCACGCAGGTGGGACTGGAGCAGGAAGGATTCCAGCCTGGCTACTGTAGCCTTGAGAGCCATCACCTGGGCAATGTAGATGGTTGTGCTGGTGTCGGCCTTGAGGGCTTAAATCAACAGAGATTTATTCTCTCACTATTCTAGAGGCCAGAATCTCAAATGCAGGTGCTTGATGGAAGTGGCGCTGTGGCACAAGTGGTAGAGCGCTCACCTTGAGCTGAAGAGCTCAGGCCCAGAGTTCAAGCCCCACAACCAACCAAAAAAAAAAAAAAAAGACTCAGATATAGGTAATGGAACCAAACTCAGGTTCAAGAGTTTTGCTCCCTCTGGGTGAGACTCCAGGAGAGAATTTCCCAGATTCTTCTAGTGGCTGCTGGTACCACTTGATTTAAGTTCTCACCATCCCTATCTTTACCTCTAAGGTAGATGGATTCTCCTTCCTCTCCCTGCCTCCCACCTTTTTGTGTGTGTGTACCAGTACTGCAACTTGAACTCAAGGTGGTTAATTGGAGTTAAGAGTCTCACGGACTTTCCTGCCTAGGCTAGCTTTGAGCCACCATCCTCAGAGCTCAGTCTACTGAGTAGCCAGGATTTCAGGCCTGAGCCACCAGGCCAGGCAAACCTTTCCCTCCTGTATGCACAAAAACTCTCTGTCTTGTGAGGGAAGGGAACTTGAAGAACAGGAAGGGACTCAGTTACATAATCCAGGAGAATGGATTCCAGATTTGTTCACCTGATTGAGTCTGTGATGATCCTTCTCAGGAGATAGAATCTGGGCCTCAAGCAGCTAAGGCAAAGACTCTACCTCTTGATCCACATCTCTTTTGTATTTTGTGTCAGAGACTAGGTTGGTGGTTAACTGCCTGAGAATGGCCTTTTTGTTTTGGTCCTTCTGGGTGTTTGAACTCAAGGCCTGGGGCTAGCCGGGCTGTCACAGCATTGCTAAACCATGCCTCCAGCCCAGTTTTGTTTCCTCCAGCCACAGGTACATGCCTGAGCTGCAATCCACCTACTTGAAGCTTCACACGTGGCTGGCATCCTAGGAAGCCGGCATCACAGCTTCCCATGGTGGCCTGGTACCACGATCCTTCCAATCTCAGCCTCCCATACAGCTTGGGATGACAGGTGTATGCCACTGTACCCAGCTATGGGTTGAAAGGGATCACTCAAAGTTTTCTGCCCCAGCTGGCCCCCAATCAAGTTCCCCCTATTCTCAGTCTCCCAAGTAGCTAGGATTACAGGCATGAGCCGTCAGCATCCACCAAGGCCTTTGTCTTTATTAGGTAACACTCACAGGTTCCAAGGACCAGGACAGAGAATATCTTTGGGTGGCCTTTACTGAATCTACCATAATGGGAAAGAGGGCTGAGCAATTTATTTTAAGGCCTGGCATTTGTGGAGGGAGAGGATTTTGTTTGGTGTGTGTGTGTGTGTGTGTGTGTTTTGTTGTTGGTGGTGGTTTGTTGGTTTGTTTGTTTGGTTGTTGTTGGGTTTTTTTTCCTGGCCAGTTGTAAGACTTGAACTCAGAGCCTGGGTACTGTCTCTTTTATGTTCAATACTATCACTCTACCACTTGGGCCACAGCTCATTTCTGGCTTTTTTGTTGGTTAATTGGAGAAAACACTTGTTGTCTCATAGACTTTCCTGCCTGGGCTGCATTTGAACTGTGATCCCCAGATCTCAGCCTCCTGAGTAGCTGGGATTACAGACACCAGCTTGGTATGGCAGGTTTTAAGCAGCAAATGCCAAGATCTGGAGATTTGGACAATCTTCCTGATTAAGACTACTGAATGTCACTTTGACACTAGCTAACCTTTAACCCATTCAAACTCTTCTCCTCCTCCAAGGTATCAGGGACCCCTCCCCACTACCGCTCTCTCCCAGCAAGAACTCTGCAAATGTAAATCCATTTTTAGTAGCTGCAGTACCGAGGCCCTGAGACAGCCTCTGTGGACCGGGCCAAGTGCAGAACAAAGCTCGGGTGAGTTCTTAATTTTATCATGACACAGAGCACAGTAAGCCCATTGTTTCTGAAGCAAATGCTAAAACAGTCGGGTGTTTTTGTTTTGCTGTTTGTTTGGATTTGGGGTATTTTTTCCCCCTGTGAATCCCACTTTCATTCCTTTCAAATGGCAGCAAATGGACTGGAGCCCTGTGCATGTTTATTCTTGGACATTTTCTTCCTACCCACTGCACACTGCCCTCAGAAAAAGTGGGAAGGAACCTGGCCAGGATTGGAAGCAGCTGCCCACCCAGATCCCCCCCAAAAAAGAACAACTGTGGTGAGGGGGCCGAGCTCAGGGTCAGATGCAGAACCAAGAAATAGAAAATGGTCCTGTTCCCTCAGGAAATGCCAAGGGAGAGAGATCCTGAGAAATAGAAAGTGTTATTTAGGTAGCCAGGTTATCGAAGTCTAATCACTCAAGCAGACACCTGAAGCCTGAAGCATGGCAGAAGAGAACTGTAGACATAGAAAAGTACAATGTGTGCAAAGGTCCTGAGGCCTCTGAGGAAGGACACAAGGCTATGGGCTAGGGGAATGAGGGAGATTTGAAGTTTAACACCCATGGGAAGGATTTGGGGGTCTGGGGGAGTTGATCAGCTGGGTCCTAAACCCCTGGGAATGGAATGGAAGGAGGCAGAGTGTGTGGGGGGAGACAGAGAGACACAGAAAGACAGACAGAGAGAGAGAGAGACAGAGAGAGAGAGAAAGACACTGGGAGAGAGAGAAAGAATGAATCTCAAAGCAGACTGACAATGGTAAGCTACAGTAGGAGACAAAGGACTAAAAGGACACATAAAACACGGGCCATTGAAGGATAGTTACACTAATTAGATTTAAAACAAGAAATTCTCAGCTAGGAGAGAGCAAAGAAAGGAGTGCCATGGACCAAATAGAAAGTCATTTATAAGTCATGACCTGGCTTATGAAACTCTAACCCCTGTGTACATTACTTTTATAATAACAATAAAATGACTTTTAAAAAACGAAGGCATTCCCAAGGCCGGGTGTGGTGGTGCAGGCCTCTAGGTAACCCCTGTGGAAAGGAAAGAAGGGAGGAAAGGAGGAAGGGAGGGAGGGAGGGAAAGAAGGAAGACAGAGGGAGGGAGGGAGGAAAGCCGGCTTCTGTAGGCTTCATCAAATTCCAGAACTGACTTTGGGAAGGTGCTGATGCCCATCAGCAAATAATGAGCATTTTCATCTGGCTGCTCTATGGGCAGCCATGCAGCAGTTGTGTGACTGTTTTCTTTCTTTGTTTTCTTGTTGAGACAGGGTCTTGCGATATCATTCTGACTGGCCTCAAACTCTAAATCCTCCTCCTGCCTCAGCCTCTGGAGTGCTGGGATTACAGGCATCAGCCATTCACCTCCACACTGGGTCTCTGATTGCTTCTTTCCTTCTTCCTTCCTTCCTTCCTTCCTTCCTTCCTTCCTTCCTTCCTTCCTTCCTTCCTTCCTTCCTTCCCTCCCTCCCTCCCTCCCCTTTTCTTCTTTCTTTCTTTCTTTCTTTCTGTTGTGGGGTTTATACTCTGGATCTGGATGCTGTCCCTGAGCTCTTCAGCTCAAGACAAGCACTCTACCACTTGAGTCACAGCATCACTTCCTGTTTTCTGGTGGTTTATTGTAAATAGAAGTCTCACAAACTTTCCTGCCTGGAATGGCTTTGAACCTTGATCCTCAGATATCAGCCTCCTGAGTACCTAGGATTATAGGCATGAACCACTGGCACCTGGGTTTTTTTTTGGGGGGGGGTCCAGTCATGGGGCCTGTACTCTGGGCCTGGGCACTGTCCCTCAGCTCTTCAGCTCAAGGCTAGCGCTCTACCACTTGAGCCACAGTGCCACTTCCAGCTTTTTTCTTTTTGCTTATGTGGTGCTTTTTGCTTATGTAGATACTAAGGGCCTCAGGCATGCAAGGCAAGAGCTCTACCACTGAGCCACCTAACCAACCCGGCTTTTTTTTTTAATATATACATTTTTTATTATTATCTTAAATGGTTGTGCAAAGGAGTTGGCATTTAACAAAGCAGCTTATGAATTCAATATATCTTGATCAATGTCACCCAGATTGCCCTTTTTTTGTCACAATTACTTCATTAACTGTTCTTGTGGCACATATCATTACCCAAATCTCTCCAAACCTGCTATTTGCCTCTAGTGAGTCACTGGCTACGTTTCGAATATCAGATTTATTCAGCCTTGCCCACTGGCCCTCCCTTCTTCCCTTCCCTTCCCTTCCCTCTCTCTCTCCTCCCTCCCTCCCTTCCTTCCTTTGTCTCTTCCATTTTTTCTGACATGTGTATGTAGAAATATAGACATTCTTTGTGCATCATTAAAAATTTTTGTGTTCATTTTTACCCCATATTGTAGATACTAAAACTTGGCTGTCACATACTGTGCCTTGCAATTATGTCTGTGACAGTCCATAAAGATGAACTCATTCTTCTCACATGCATGTAGACAGTTCACAGAGTGGCCAGCCCAGCCCATCCCGCTTAGGTAGACACTGCAGTAACTTCCATCTGGTTGCAGTAGTGCACGCCTGTAATGCCAGCACTCTAATACTCCAGGAAGCAGAACAATCTGGAGTTCAAAGCCAGCCTGGACTATAGAGCAAGATCTTGCTGCAAACACTAAAGGAAACAATGGTGACTTCCAATAATTCTACACTATAACTAATGTTACATAAGCACTTTTTTTTCTCCCTCAAGGCTAGTGATCTGCCATTTGAGGTATATCTCTACTTCTGCCTTTTTGTTGGTAGAGTCTCACCGATTTTCCTGCCTAGGCTGTCTTCAAAATGTGATCCTCAGATTTCAGCCTCCTGAGTAGCT